AAAAAAAAAGGTCCGACCGTATTGAAATACGTATACCAAATGCGCAGAGCTGAGTGAAGTCACTGTGGCGAAAATTATATAATTTTGGTTTCTCTGGAACCAGCTGAACTGTCCATGATATGGAGGTGTCTGTCAGGAGAGTTTCGGCTCTAAAAGAAGTAAAACCTCTACTTCAGTCTATGAGTTAATGGTTACAGTCATATCTTCGTCAGTTTTCCCCTGCGCTTGGCTTGTCTCTACGCAATCCCAGAGAGCAAAATCACGTGGCTATGACATTTATCAGAGATTTCGTTCGCTTATGTATTAATCAGACTCTTTTTAACAGGGTTGAAATAACGGATTTCCAATCCGTTTGTCAAGAGAAAGGCGGCGTTAACAGTGGAGGAACGTCATTTTTACTCAAGGTTGGATTATTATTATTATTCTTAATCTTAACGATGACTCTTGATGCGAAACTAAAAACTTCAGAACTGATAACCGAAAGCAATTTGTTTCGTTTCGTCCCTAAAATCGATTTACAATGTGTTTTGGTCTAAACAAAACGGCCGGATTGTTCAAGGCACTATTAGGCTAATACAATATACGCCTGATTTTTGATCCATATACTTTAGCCAACGTGAAATCGCTAGCAGAGAAAGCACTCTAGTACAAGATAAATTTAAACCTGGATCAACTTTTAATCTTGGTTTGAGTCAAGGGTCTTTCCCAGTATTAAGTTCGCAAGTTTTATTGCAATTTGAATTATATCTTTAAGGAAATCTTTACTCATCTTTGTCGATGGGTTGATTTATTTACTTTTTTGGTTGGCTGATCGATTCATCATTACTTTATCAGCGATGTCCTCGTTTTGTGAATGTTATTTCGTCGTTTTACTCACCAACTTTTTGTTTTGTCACAGTTAGTAACATTGTAAATGAAAAAATCCTTGCATTTTCCTCTTAATCGTTTCAGCCTCTTTTCTCTCTCTCTGCCTACGCTGAGTGGTGGACAACCAAAGCTGTGTGGTATGTGCTGTAGCGAAGTCTGTGTTTTTTGTTGTTGGCTCGCCAGACCTCAGAGACATGTTCTATTTAAGCTTAAAGGAGCTCAGTCACGCTATTTTGAGTTACTTTGGCCACATTCAAAATTACCTTTAAATGGTAGGAAACCTGAAAATAACAGTTTAATAAGATAGAAAAACACCAGAGAGATACTGATAAACCATAAAGGAAGAAGGATGGCTAAGGATGGAGAAGATTGACACCGATTCCAAACGACGAATTTGAAAAATTGAGGCTAAACTTTTCAATATGCGCAAACCGTGACTGAGCTCCTTTAATAATACAAACTTCAGAATAGCAGCAAGTTTTTGGTGTCAAACCCCGCGGGGGTACTCCCAGAAAAGTTGGGTGGGGGTGTGCAACCCACTTCCTAAAACCCTTACCCTATTTATGACCAAAATCTGCGATTTTCCCTGCCCTGTTTATGGCCTGGCCAAAAATTCGATACCCTATTTAAGACCGTTGCGGTTGGCGCAGTTGCCCTAAACATAAGTTATGAAGGGCTTTTGTTGACGTTCTTATTGATAATGACGAAAAAGTAGCTTCTTCTAGGAAACATACCCAATTCAAGACTAGAGTGTTAAAACCATACCCTATTCAAGAACAAAATGGCCAAAATCGATACCCTATTTATGACCAAAACGACTGAAAAACCATACCCTTTGGGGCCGCACATACCTATATGGCCCATATAAGAGTGTACGCCCCCCCCCCACCCCCCCGAGTGTCAAACACAGTCGTTTATCGTTTTTGTGCAGTTGTACGTGTGTATTACTAGATGTTGTAGAAACAGGCTCCAACTACCTTTTAACTCTTAATTCAGCTAGATTTTGTTCCGCCCTGGAAGACAATTAGGGAACAACAATGAACTTTTTCCGTGCATGCTATTTTTCTTGGTTTGTGATAAATACTCGCGTCCCCATCTACACTTCCTTGAGATCAAGTACTCTCGTTTCTTTTTCTACTTTGTGGTTGTCTTAACTAATTGGTTTTTCCATATTTACATTTCAGGTCTTTGCTGTATTTCAACTTCTACAGGTTGGTTCGATGATGTTCCCGTTTTGGAAACGTTACTCAATCATGTGGTTCCATTTTGAGCGTGAATGTGATTTGAACGTTGTCAGGAACTGTTTTATTGTGTGACAGTGCACAGAATAATTTACAGACCAAATCATTTACTGAAATGCCCATAATTGAAATTCATGTTTTCGTGATACACACTATTTCCATACACTTTAGCAATATAATGCACCTTGAAATTTAAGCTACAACCCTGGACAATAATGTTGAGACAGTTTCATCAATGTTTTAATTACGCACGGTACCACGATGTAATCAAACCACATCAAAGTCCTCCACCCAACACCCAATCAATGTTGTTTTGGTCTGAATACCAGGGGAAGGGGTGGGGGCTGAGTGTCTCACACCCCCGGTAATTTTTGCCTAAATATCCCGTACCCCGTTAATTCCAATTGCAAAAATCAACGATTTTCGAAATCAAATTTTGTATGATGTAATTATCCCACATTCTTTTAATTTTCCCCTTCCCCCTCCCCCCCCCCCCNCCGGCGCAAAAAAAAAAACACCCTGTATCCCGTAAATTTTTGCCTAAATATCCCGTATCCCGGAAACCCCCAGTAGGGCCTCGTTATCCAAAACAACAATGAAAGAGGCGTTTTGGAATTCAGTCAGTACAACAGGAAAATGAAGAAATTTTATCAATTGGTCTCAACTAGATTTGTCTAGTGTTGTAGCTAAGTTCTCACGTGATGTTTTCATTTTGCAGCTGGTTTTTCTCCGAGACTGGAGCAAGCACAGGTAAGAAAGTAACGTCTTTCCATGCTTCTTGTTTGGCACCATCTCGTTAACAAACCAAGCTATAGAGTGGTCTTTATTCGAGTGTCGAAAAGTAACTGGCGTTATATAACTACGCTACATGAAAAAACTCGTGCCACTTTTTCATCCAATCAGCATTAAATCAAAACCAATCGCTACTCGCTCGCGCAAGTTTTCTCGCGCTTCACATCAGCTTCACGTATTTACTACGAATTTTGATTGGTTCACTATATTGTCTATGTCCTTTTTGATTGGCTAGGGTGATAACTTTGGTTTTGGTTTTACAACACTCAATTGAAAACGGCTCTATGAACTATCTTTACTTACAGAAGCTACTGATGATGCCCCAAAGAATATAAGCTGCATTCGCAATGTGACGACGTATTATTCCACCACGGGCGACATATTGCAGAATGGTATGTGACATTTTATGTTCAACACGAAATGGTGTGACAAATCATAATATTCTCGAACCCATACCTTCCACGGCCAAGCGTCAAACAGAGTGGGATCTGGGTACAAAATTTAACAAATCATGTGACCAAAGAAGGGATCACGTGATAGTTAACATCCAGTCGTGTGTCTTGTTGGAGATTTTTCTTTGTCTTGTGCAAGTTCAACACCTCACTTGTTATTTTGCTCCGCAGGAACAACAACTTGTGAAGACTGCCCAAGGTAAGGGCAAACTGCTAAATAAAGTCAGCGTGGCTTACTGGTCAGGGCCCTGGACTTAAAATCCAAAGGTCGCAGGTTCAAGTGCCGCTCTGACCACTTGCTGGTGTTGTTTCACGATAGGCTCGAGTTCAACTCTTTGACTTCGTTGGTAAATAGCCAAGTGGTTTTTCTCCTGTCAGTTGGGGTTTTTACCTTTGTTATGTTCAATTTGAAATGTTTCTTTCTGAAATTTAATGGCTTTACCCCACTAGTCTTTGGCTGTACACACTGACCGAGAGTAAACTGAGATTAAACCGAGAGTCTTCGATTTTTATTTTTAAGTGAGGTTGATATTATTGTGGAGGGCTGTTAACTGTGTTTTGAGTTAACGTACATTGTCTTACTGTGTTCTCAGTGAAAGGCATCATGTAGTCGCCAGTGTGCCCGACAGTAACTTGTACCTGGTAGTGATAGACGCCATTTGTGGACCATGTTCTGATTCGATCAAGGATATGGGAATTCCAGGCGAACCCCGAGAAAATATCCTTTAATAGAAATGCACGATTAATAAAGAAACAACTCTTTCTGTAACCTTATCACACACATACAAGTTAGGCAACTAACAAACGATTTATTTGTAACCTTATAAACCTTAACACACCTGCTTAATACCTTGACCCTAGGCGGGGTGGGGGACGGGACGGTTTTTAACACTTTAACTACAGTTACATAAATATCAGTTCACATCTAGTAACCGCGTGTCAGAATAACCATACTAAGCTACAGGCAGGTCAGCCCGTCTTGTCTTAATTGCCCTTTTATTTCATCGCGTAATGTTCTCTGAAAACAAAAAAAGGTTTCTTTTTCCTACCTTTACAACAAATGGGTGCAATCCACAGTAGGCCATTTCCAAGTTACCTTGTGCCTCAGTTTCAAAACGAGTCCTCGTGCAAAACGTTTCGTATGAAAATGAGTTTGCTCTGCTTGAAAATGAACCTGCAGGAGGAAACACATCTTCGCACTCAGACTCGTTCTGACACAGAGGCAAAGGGCAACTCTGAAATGGTCTATTCCTTCTATGATACGCGCCTGCAGAGAATCGTGGTAGTTGTATTCATCATTTTGGACTGGATGTAGTTGTTTTGATGAATACCATGATTCCCTACAGGCGCGTCTCGTAGAGGGAATTGGGATTAACAAAAAGAAAGAAACCGTTTTCAAGAGTGGGATCACAACTAGTGAAGTGGAGCAACAAACGTGGAGGCAAAAAGGGGTCTTCTGCTTTGCGTGTTTTCCTTAACATCACTACTTCAAAGAGGGACCGTGGAAAACGCCTGTAAGGAACCTGGCTACCGAAAAAGACCTCAGAGATGCTTTGTATCAACACATTCTGTACGTACACAGTGCTTTTGCCTTCAACTAATAGGTGCCACTATTTTAGCACGAGGCTAGTGGTTTTTGAAGTCGGGCAACGGGACTCTGTTCTTCACGAGCCCCAAATTACGCAAATAATGTAAGAGATGATGACATTTTTGGTCGCTAGTGTAGATGACGTTGGGCTTGTACATCCTAGTTACGCCGAAAATTGGTATTCTTTGCACCCTGAGGCCCCGTCCACAACTTCCACACTAGGCCGGTGTAATTTGAAAACAGAACTTTATTTCTCTGGGTAGGCCTTCCGTCCACACTTATCCGTCACGAAAACGGAGCTTTTCCAATACGCTCTTCAAACCGGGGGAATTTCAGTGAAAACGGCGGCTTTGCGTTCTTTTGTGGACAGAAAACATTTTGAAAACAAAGCTTTTCGCAAACGATGAGGCTACGATCGTCATGTGATTTCCCTGACCGAGTTTTCCTCAAACACAAATCCAAAATGACCGGTGATTGTTGCGTTTTTAAATTCCTCCGGCGTAGTGTGGACGGAAAACATTTGAGGCGTTTTCAGAGTGAAACCACCGTTTTCAAATTCCTCCTGCGTAGTGTGGACAGGGCCTGAATGTCTTAAGTAATTTTGGTTGCGATATTGTTGCGCCGTCACAAAACACGTCAATTTCAGGCCATGTTGCGCAAAGCAATTTCTAGGAATAAAATTCAACTTTAAAGCTCTTGCGTTTTTTACTTTTTACCTTTTTTTCTTCTTTTTCAGGAAACGGGTTACATGTGTGGTACTGGTTCATTCATAACACCATCTCTTCGTGCCATCACGCTGCAATTGCTCTGTTTCATAACTGTATTGTGGAGAATAATCGGCGGCGTCTGACTGATTCTACCTTCTGAAGTAACTATTGGCTTGCAAGCTTACAAGATGTCAAGAATCAATTTTGAAACTGCCTTAAGAACATCTGTGCTGCAGAGTTCAGCTTCAGGCTGTAAAGAAAACGCGGAGATAGTTTGTTGACTTCAAATTGTTGACGCTTGTTTAAAATTATTTTACAGTTTCGTTTATGCCATTGTGGAAGATGCAAAAGTCGATGTATCTATTTTGAAAACGTTGTTTTCACATTCAATTTGGAACAATACATGCGTACGTTTGTTCGTGTAGAAAGGTTACGATATTTTAAGAGATGTATTATATTAATACTTAACTGTGTATTTTACTGTAAAGCTTGAAAACGTGGTACTGACAAAGTTTGTTTTAAGGGAGTATTTTAATATTAATGTATTATAAGCCAGCACAAAGTTTGTGTAATTGTAACCTTTCAGACACGTCTTAAAATTCCCTTAACTTATTGAGATCTAATTTTATTTTTTTTCAGTCGCTCACGAGCGCTGAATTGAACTTTTGTACAGAATGTCGTAAGTTTTAGATGCATATTTGAAAAGCCTCAGAGAACTTTTTCCCCGGCAGTCCCATAATGATAAATTAAATCAGTGCCAAAATGTTCCTTGGAGAAGTGTATAAATATAATTTATAATTTTGGCAATATTCAAGGAACCATTGTAGGATTGTGCTCTTTATTAAGTGATAATAATTGTCAATTAGTGCTTCTCGATGGCTTACAATTGAAATAGCAACGACGAAATATGCAACCAGACAATAAATAACTAGTAAAATTCTTTCACTTGTACTTGTGTTGGTGGGAGAGAGGTTAGCGAGTAGGCAAGCCGTTCTTTACCCATGTAAAGGGTCGAGTTTGTTGTTGGTTCTTGACTTGCTCCGAGGGCTTTTCTCCGGGTTCTTCGGTTTTCCTCCCTCCACAAAAACCAGCATCTTCAAATTCCAATTCGACCAGGATAGAGGACCCGCGTTAAAACTAGTTGAGACTGATGTGGCTTCCTCTCTAAATATTGTAATTCGTGCATAGCACACATTACACAATAGCCCACATTCGAAATATCAAAATGCTAACATGACTCCATTGTTTTTTCTGCTCGAAAATTGCAATTTTTTAAGATCCCTTTGTCTGGTAATTCCCATAAAAAGGCTGATTTTCACTTGCGCATAAGCAACACACGTAGACGCAGTGGTGCTGCCAAGAAGCTCTTTTTGTTCTGAAACTTTTCTCGTCAAAAGGTGCCAATTATCAACATCTTAGCGCGTCTGTTGCTTGTGCTTATGCGCTGTGAAAAGCAGCCTTGAGACTTGACACAAAGAAAAACAAGACCAAAGGAGAAAGCCTTGGTGCCATGTCAGAATTTTGATTGTCGAGCGTGGGGTTGTGTCCTGGTGTAACGGTACACAGAGGGAATAACCATTGTACTCCTTTCTTTACGAGGCTTTGTTTAGCCGTTGAACATTGTTGGGTCTTTTGTATCGGTTCTTGTGAACCGGTACACAAGCACAGAACCGAGCGTGCTGTTGAAGTAGTAGTAGTGAACTTTATTTAAGCTCGGATTGAAGAGAAGCACGTATGTGCTACTATCTCCTAGGAAAACAAAAGATGGAATAGAAGAAAAGAAAGTGATAGAAGAATAGCAGAAAAGGGTTGGAAGAATTCATAGGTAAAACACCGAATAATTTACTATCAAGGAATGTCGGTCAGTTGAGAGGAATAAAAATGACTAAATTTTGCGTTGTCTGGAGAACGTGAACCACGACGGCTATTTTTTTAAATTTCTATTTCAAGTTTATCGCTGTGTTCCGGATTTAGTTTTGTAATAGTTTTGAGAGTCGCAGACAACGTGGATGACTTGAGAGTATCGCGAGATTCGTAGGTAAAATATAAATTCATTTTTTAATCGACGTCGTCTTCGGCCTCTCCGTCGTGGTTTCATAAACTCCCTTATACGTAGTAAGAAGTGCTTAGTAACAGTTTGTTGTGGGCTGCGAGCTTTCTCGACCCCAGGGCTACACGTCTATGAAATGTTTAAGCAACCACGTGACCAAAAGCTGGGACGAGAACAGGAAACTGGCGCAAGACAGTGAAAATTAGCGGTACAAATGAGAACACAAAGAAAGAGCCAGTAGTACTTTCACTCGTTTGCTATAAACTGTTTATTTACAACTCTACATCGCCTTGTACAGATTTGCTATAGGAGAATTCTCAAGGAACACCACCCTGTCAAACGGTTTGAATCCAATCCAGAGTAATATTTACAAAAGTTCTCAAGATTGACACATGAAATCATAACATTTTGAAATTTTTTGAACCTATACGCGTTATTTTGTCTTCTCCTTACTCTTCTTCTTTTTCTTCTTCTTTTGCTTGTCTTTGCTGTCTTTGTCTCTCTTAGCGTGACACGAAGAACAGAACCAATCGACTTCACCAGGGTCATCTATTATGCCAACGCAGGTTCTACAGTAAATAAGTATAACATTCATTATCAATGGACCTGTCCCAAGAAATTTGTATTAAAAGAGCACTAACAACATGAAGTATTCGTCTACATAATAATTCATCAAGTTTAAACAAAGGAAATCATGACCATGGCGGTGTTTGGATATCTGATCCTAATATTAGCGTAGATTTTTACGATTTCGCCTTAGTTTTAGTTTCGAGGGAGAAGATATATCAAACACTCAAGACAGGGTTTAACCACATTGCCAAACACCTCGAAGTTCATTAAAAATAATCCGCTGTGCGTCGTATTTTCAACTCTCTACTTGTTGTTTGGAAATGTGGTCAAGCACGGTCTTTCTTGTTTGATATATTACATCTACACTAAATTTCTTACTTATTCTTTCGTCTCATCCCTGGCTTAAAATATAGACTAAACTGAAGGAAGATTACTTGAGAAGCACTCACCCGTGAAACCATTCATCACAGCCATCACAACCAATCATAAAACTGCCATCATCAGGGTCNAAAGTTTTAAATGATTTTTTTCAGTAACATCTGCAATTCACTTACATGTACAAGGGTTGTTGAAAGTGTCTGTGCCACGACTGTCCTTTCCAGTGATTCACTTTTGATTGTTAGTTTGGGAACAGTAGCAGCAGCAAAATTAGCCACAACACCTGGCTCTTGTTTGATTGAAACCTTTGATGTTGTTGGCCCTGGATTGTCCACCACCTGACTGCTTGCCACAGATGGGGCAAGTCTCTCTGTACCATCTGCTCCATGTTCTCTGTTGAAAAGTGGAAACTATATTCATATATGTCTAATTATTCTCGCATTTTAATTGCTTCTTACTTATGATCTGTTGGAGGACAGATGCTTAGATGACATCATCAGCACTTTTTTTTGTTTCTTTATAGAACAAGTAGATTCCATGTTGTTGTGAATCTGTTCAGCAATAGATAAGAGATGACGTCAAAATTTGGTAAGAATATCAGTGACACAGACGCCATCTGTAATCTCTTCCACAATTAAATTATGAGTTCGCGATTTCTATCGCACGATAGCTGATGAGGGCACAGCCCATGTCAACTATCATGCATAGAATTCGAGAGCGAATAATCAAATTGTTTTAGCATAAATCTACAAGTCATTCACAACTTTATCTAAGTCCTCTTCACAGACACCTCAAAAATGCAAAGTGGCCACCAGTTTGCTAACACACACACACTGCTGGGCTACTCACTGTCTACAACAGCATAGATAGTGTGTAGTGTAACCAACCAGTTAACGGCATTTGTGATAGAATGCTAGCAGATTTATTGCAATATTGAACAGACACTTGGCAACATGGAAGCTATCTGTCAATTATAAATTAGTGGTTGATCAAAGCAAGTTTAAGCTAATTCAGGAGTAGCAGCTACATTCAATTTAATTTTCAGCAAGTTCTCAGCAGAAGTAAATCCTATTCTCTTATTTCCAGTACATGAAGGCATAACTAAGCACATACATTTGTGAAGTTTCTGTCTTGGCCGTCCCCTTGTTTGATAGTGATGCTGGTTGGGAAGTGGTCTCTAACTTCACTGTGATACGAGGAATAGGAGGTGTTGCGAATGGTATTGCCTGTGACAGTTCTGAATGATCTGTCTTCAACTGTAACATAACATAGCAAAAACAATTCATTCTCATTAACACAGTAATCCAGTTCAGTGCCCTCTTTTAAGGTATTTACCCCCCTACATGTACCTAAAATGAATACCAGGGACCCTCCAGTTCAAGGTGTCTTGTGAAAAGCACCCCCTACTCTTGTCACAGCCCTTTAAAAGATGCTCCTTGCTTTTGATATCAGTGCTCAGAGAACTAAATAAACCAAATTAATCAATCCTCCATTAACCTTCATAGAATTGTACATAGAAGTGATTCAGTGGTCAAGAACAGGTGAGGGATTCTTTCTTACCTGGAATGGGTACCAAATGTAACTGTTTGATCTGATGTGGTCTGGAGAGTGTGACTTACTAGAGACAACGTGTTTGGCATGCAAGAAGCGGACTGATCAATTCCGCTTTTTGCACTGAGAAAGATGAATGCTTCAGTAGAAGAGCAGTAGTTTAAAGAGACTTACCTTTTTGCTCTTATCCTTTTTCCTTTCTCTGTCTTTATCCTTTTCCTTTCTTTTCTTTTTTTTCTTTTTGTGTTCCAATGCCGGGTCTGTTAAAAGATTTCCTGGCACACTGCTGTCACCAGATGCCATTGCAAATTCTGCCATGGAAAATTTGAGTCCTTCACTAGTGGAAGGAGTGCTCCATTCTTTTGGTTCAACTTTTACTGAAGGTTCAAGAATTTCCTTCTCTTTTTTGACTTTTGGTTTCTTCGAAGGAACTGCTTTACGTTTTGATTTCTGAGGCTGTGATTTCTCTTGTTTATCTGCATGATCTGGAGGCAACAATTGTGACACCGTGAACTGCTGGTCATCATTGACCTCCTTCTTAATGGGTTTTATGATTAATTTTGGCATACTTTCTTTCACCTGAATGTTCTCTTTCGCTGCAGCAGGCACTGCCTTTGTCAACGGGGATTTTGCCACAGGTTTCTTAGTCTTGTTGCCTGTTTTTTTCTCTGTTTTTGGAGTAGTTTTGATTTTCTTAGCAGGGGTTTTTGTCTTAGCTTCAGTTTCTATGGCAGGTGATTCCTTTTTGTTTGTCAGCGGCGATTTCATTGGGGATGGCGATTTTTCTTTTGGCAATTTTGGAGGCACTGCCATTGTCAAAGAAGTTGATTTTTTCACAGGGCTTTGTGTTTTCTTGGGAGTCTTGACTTTTTTGTTTGGGCTTGATTTAGCTTTCCCAGCTGGTTGTTTTCCAGCTTGTTTGTCAGCCCTAACTGCTTTTTTGTCTTCTGCCTTTGGTTTAGCTGTGGATTTAGCAGATGGTGCACTTTCTTTAGAGGAGGTGGCAATAACAGGAGGTACAGCTGATGTTGGTGGAATCTCAAATGTTTTTGCTGTACTCCAAACATCAGGTGATGGAGTTGGCGATGGCGAGGACAAATTCCCTTGCAATGCATCTAGGATGTCCATTTCATTGCCCCTGTTCCCTTTTTGCATAAAAGGAAGGTCTATTCGTCTTTTCTTTATTTCACTTTCCAAGCCTGGGGGGGTATCATGGGGCCTTTTAACGGCCACATGCTGACTGGACGTTTCCTCCCCAACTGTCTTTATTTCATTTCTCACAAATCCCTCTGCACTTCCTTGCTCTTCTCCTGCATCAACTGTGTCTGCATCCTCTGCTGCTGCTTTTCCTTCATCTAAGAAAATGATGAACACTGACATTGCAAACAAATGCTGTCATGAGCAAACGTTTGAGAATTTAATAGATGCGCAATGCAAAGTTCAGTGAAGGGTCTATATATATTTGTATTCAAATTACTTTACAGTAAGCAACTACTCTTGAAAACTATCAGTGTCCTGCAGACCACTGACTCCTGTGCCAGCCGTAACCAGCCGTGCGAAAACCCACCCCCAATTTCCTGTGCTGGCCGTAACCGGCTGTGAAAAAGCATGTGAGGACAATTGCCTTTCCTACCCTCCCTGAAGACGTTTTGGTTCTCCTACTGTTCTATTGTTGTTAAGGACAAATAAACCAATGAGAATCGATTTACTGAGCGTATTTTTAGAGGAATTTAGGGGTCCTAGAAAGACAGTTTTTAGGGTTAAAATCATGCGCTCAAAAAGTGCAGGTAATCATGGCACGTTGTGGGCCAAATCTACAAACTTCCAGGGTCTTGTTTTCATTCCTAAAAAGGAGAAATTACTTCTTTCGCACTTAAAATAGAAAGGAAAAACATAAATCGATGTTTAGGTGGCCTCAGAATGGAAGATCAAGGTGTTCAGAGTCCTAAAACCTTTCTGGTGAAGAATATTTCCTTCCTTCATCCACCGCGAAAACATGACGATCGGTGCACTTTCAAGTGAGTTTTGAATACAGATCACCGATTTAAAGCAGCTTCCTGGACTTAAGAAAACAAAAATGGTAATGTACAGTATTACTTCAAAGTTGAATTCAATTTTTAGAACAATTAGTAAAGCCACGGCTGATAAAATAACTGCAAAACTTGTTGGCAAAATCTCAAGCTTTTGCTTTAGCATGAAGAATTAATTTGAGTGCAGCGAAGCACGTCTGCAAAATTTTGAACATTTTTATGCTTTTAGATAAGTTTTTTGCCTCATCTTGAATGAAAATTTATTGTTATTGAACTTCCTGTCACGTTTGGTTGCCTTTATTTGTGAATTTTAGGTTTTAAAAGTAAACAGTATTTTTGCACGCTGGATTTCTGCATATTTAATTTATGGCGACCCTGGTAGTTTGTTTGTTTAGTACATTCACTTCATTCAAATATTTTTTTTTGAGTCTTATTCAGCTGCTACAGAACTCCTGAGAAAAGAACTAAGTGGGAGCTAAATTAAAACATTTGAGATACAATTTATCTCAAAATCATTGGCTTGTTTTTGTCGTCTTTTTGATGTACAACTTTCATCTTTCTTTTGCTGCGCTGTATTATTTCGTCACATGGTGAAGAAATTATCTGATTTCTTGTTTTTAAATTAGTTTTTACATGTGTCTATCGCCGTTATTTTCCGGTGTTTTATCAGATGTTATCCGTCATAGTAAAAGAGTACAAGTTCTGTTGTATTCGGTTTTGTTTTGTCCTCTGAAGTCAAAAATTAACTCATTTTTGCGTAATCAATTTTCTCGTCTTTTGTCGCGCGGCAAAGAAAAAAGATATTTTCTTGTTTTCTTATCAGTTTTACAGATCAAGTTGAGTTCTTTTTGTTGATATTTTTTAATATTTTGGCCCTTCATTTATTCAACTTTAAATAAATGTCTTGAAACCTGATCTTTTGTCTGTGGTTACTGCGCATATGGTTTATTTTTGTGCTTTCGCCCGCTCTGAAATATTTCACAAAAACGCCATGGAATTAGGGGTGGGTCGCGGGAAATTTCATGCAGGAGTCAATGGGTTAGACATGTGCGCATTCTTTTTCAACACATAAGGCCTAGTAAAGCTAGATTACTCTATGTTGACTTGCCCACACACAAAAACCTTAACAATTTTACTAGCGGTAGTAAACCATGGTTTACAATGATAGTGCTTGGCATAAAGGTTGCTTGTAATAACTGGACACCTTTTCATGCAGTAATGTTTAAAAGTAGCATGCTAACACTGCTGACAATAACTAATGATTATAATTCATTATTGAGTCACTTCCAAGTTGCCTATTGTCTTTGAGTCAAAACGAAGTCTTCATACAAAAACACAAATGTGAAAATATGTTTCACCTGCAAGTTAATTTTTGTGCAAACCAAACTCAAAATGTTGCACTGAAGCTCGTTCTGAGACAAAAACCAAAGGTAACTCAGAGATGGCTAATACATATCTACAGTAGTTTGAGCAGTAATAGAGTTTCAGAATGAGGGTAAGAAGAAGACTGCATAGCAGCAGCAGCCATACAAAACCTTCATTTTGAAGAAGCTTAGAGACCAGAGGAGGTAAGTAGTCATAGTACTGCTCCAGTCTCTCCGCGATCTCTCCATTACGTGGATGATGGAGGACACAAGGTTTAGGCTTGGGATACCGTGGCAACTGGTGAATAAATGGAACTTGGTCTACCTGGCTCACAAAATCTTCCAACTCATGGAGGCAAACACCAATATCTTGGAAGGCTAAGTTCAGGTCGTCCAGATTAGGTTCAGTTCGACAGTCTGTTGGAGTGGAAACACAAGAATTTGTCAAGAACTTATATAGGGGTTTCATTCATGTCTTCAGCAAGAGGGCAACTGGTTTTCACAGGTGGGCAAAATTTGTTGAACTGACCTTCTTTATGAGAAAAACTGTCCTCTAGATGCTCAAACCAGGTATATAAAATTGACCTCAGCCAATCAATTTGCCTGGTACCCAGTTCTTAATGACAGCCCTGTTTACAGCTTGTAAAATTGAAGAATAAAGTGCCAAACATTACACACCACCAACACAGAGACAGACGTTTTGTTTTCCACAACTGTAGTAGCTCATGGTTGTGGTAATACCTCTAACCCCACCAATACAATCAGCTATAAGTCACAAAGTTTGGCTGTTTTGGTTGTTGACATAATAACAGGTTTTCAATGGGGTTGATATACTACCAGAGCCCATAAGGAGGAGGGGGCCTACAGTGGCATATCGAATGCAGCTGTAAAGGGTAGGGTATTCAAATGGTTCTGTCTGGGTAGGACATAAATACATGAATTTTAGTCTTGAATAGGGTATCATGTACTGGGAAACTGCACAGTTGTATTGAAGAACTTAGATGACATTGGGAATTGAAAAAGCCTACACCTAAATTGAAATATCAGTCACTGAGCAACTGACAGTAGTGGTGATTGAGTTTCTAGTCTGCAATAGTAGGGGTTCTTTATGTCAAGTTTAGAGTATAGTTGCAAAATTTAGTTCAGGTCTAAGTGGCACACCTCCACCTAATAATTAATGGACTATCCCAAGACCATACCTTTGAAAATATTGTATAAACTTAACTGTTCGTAAGCCACTAATGACACGTAAGAAACGTGCAGGTTTAAGGCTGAGTTGAGCTGTAAGGCATTTCAATTTGTGCCAATCAATATTAAACAAGAACGTACTCCTGAAACTTCTAAACTTACAAAGCTGGCTGTATCCATGAGCTGACTTTGCTATCTCTTCAAGATATTTTTGTAAAACGTCTGTCAAGAGGTCGTGTGTTGATTTCTGCAAGGCGTCCCATCCCATTGACTGGCATATCTGCGCTACAGCAGTTTGAAGGGCTCCGTGGTTGAAGCCGTCACACATCGCGAAGAAGGCAAAAAATGCTTGCTTTCGTTGATTCTACGTAAACATGTGCTGCTAATTACACTTAAGAGGGACTTTTCAGAGATAAAATAAGAACAAAAGCAACATTTTTTCTTGTTAAATCTTGCACTAAACGCGTTAGCTACATGAACAGAGCGAGATACACTTATCACCTGCGCACAATCCTATCTGCATTTACCGCTGTTAACCAAACGTGGGCGCAAAATCCGCAAAAACATTTTCCGCGGCGGGTCCCGCGGGTCGGTCCGCGGCGGAACCTTTGGAATTTTTTGACAGCAAGGAATTAAAGACGCTCCATCTTCAGAAATGGACGAAATACAATTGCCAGATTACGTTGATGAGAACTTAATAGAGTACTTTGACGATCCTGATGAACTGTTGTTGTACGAAGATTTGGAAGAGATGTACAAATATGGCCGCTTCTTCTACATGTTCAAGTCTTGTGTTGGGCCGACAACAACCCAAACCGTTGATTTGGTCGGTCCGCTACTGGCCATGTGTCTCATCCTGCGGCTTGTATCAATGCTTAAACTGCCAAGACTCGTAGTCCATTTAGTTTCTTTCGTTTGCGGACTGGCGGCGTTATTTTTGTTCACTAAAAAGAACTCCGTGTATCCTTTAACCATGAGCGCGCTCGGCTATGCACTGCTGTTCGTGAAGAATGGAAACAGAGGCATGGTGATGGCGATTACGTCGGTCGCGTTCATTATCATGTGGTGAGTATGCAATTTAGCACCTCTCCCATTAGCTAGGGTATAACAATTGTGAAGGGTGATGATGTGTTCCGGGGGGGGGGTACTTCCAGAAACGTTGGGTCGCCATGGGGTGCGTGGCCCACTTCCCAAAACCCTCACCCTATTTATGACCAAAATCTGCATTTTTTGCTACCCAGTTTCTGACCTGTCCAAAAATTCGATAGTCTATTTATGACAGTTGCAGCTGACACAGTTGCCCCAAACATAAGTTAGGAAGGGCTTTTGTTGACAGATTTACCGATAAAGATGAAAAGGTAACTTCTTCTAAGAAACATACCCAAATCAAGACTAGAGTGCTAAAACCATACCCTATTTATAACCAAAATGGCCAAAATCGATACCTTATTTATGACCAAAACGCCTGAAAAAACCCTACCCTTTGGGGCCGCATGTACCTATATAGCCCATATAAGGGAGAACCCCCCCCCGGGGATGTGTACAACCCTTACTGATGGGCGGGGTGGGGAGAAAGTGGGAAAAGGATGACTTTTATCACTCCCAGATACTGGTACACCATCTATGGTTATGTACATGTAGTCCAGCTGTGGCCCTCACTCTGTCACGTAATGCTTAGCCTGCAAACAGGCTCCCGGCAAGGACGAAAAAAAAAATTGGCGATTGAGCAAAGCGAGCAATGCTTCATTTGGGCTCCCCTGAAGCCTGTTGACAGTGTTGCATGATAGAGAGGTACGAAATATGTACATGCTGTTGCATGGGGTTGGTTGGCCATTTGTCCTTCACTGTTAGAGATTTTGAATGCACTTACTGCTCTAAATACTATTACCCGACAAAATTTTCAACCGATTTAATGCATAAAAATCGTGGAGGTTAACAATAGTTTTCCAACAAATTATCCAAAATGACCACAAGTCTGTTACCTTTGTAATGTACAGCTTGATTATATTGGATAACTTGGGGGAAAACTATTGTTAACCTCCACAATTTTTATTTATTCACTGAATTCGTGGAAAACTTTGTCGGGTGGCCTTGGCTGGAGTAGTGGCACTATAAGTATGTCAGGTAGCTACAAAACATTTTATTAGCAAAGTTACAGTAAACTTCTAGAAGTAACAACCCCTTGAAAGTAGTAATGTCCACAAATTGTGGCCGCTTATAAATACCAAAATTAGCAAGCCCTCCAAAAGTAACGAGCTATGTAAAAGCAGATTAGTGCCCAGGTGCTGAATTGAAATATTACAGTGTATAAACCAGGGTCACTCTTGACCTGGGGAGGGAGGGAGGGAGGGTGGAATCCCATATAACAAGGACAGGGGTGCTTGTCGGCAGTTTTGAAATGAACTCCTAAGAGTCCTAAGAGGTACCAAGATCCTGTTTTGGGGCTGTGGTTTGATATACCCTAAAAGGTACCATAAACGCTCCCGCTATGGACCTTTTGGGCTAAACAGCCTAAGAGAGACCAAGACCACTTTTTTAACCCCTTAAAGGTACGCGTTGTGGACCTTTGAAGCCTGAACACCCTAAGAGGTACCGAAACCGCGTTTTTAACCCTCAGAAGGTACGAAGAACACCCGCATCTTTTTTTTTTTTTTATATGAGAGTCCCTTCCCCGNCCCCCAGGACTCTTGGATTCCTGCCTTTTAACAAAAAAAAAAATGACCTACACGTAGGGTGGTTAGCGAGAACATTTAAGGACATTCTCCAGGGATGAAAGTAGGGCAGGGGTCTTTGATAATTGGTGAACTTGGAAATGTGCTTGCAGATTTTGCAGTTTACTCTTATTAGCACATAAGTTACTCAAGATACATGTAATTTAAAGTAAAAAGCATGAAGAAATGTTTAGAAGGATACTGAACAAAACAGAGAAAAACTAGATGTTTACTCAGTCTATGGCTCTATTTCCGTTTTTCATCCATAGTGAACTTTTCATTGTTCAAGCTGAAAACTGGCACCAAGTTCGAGGTATTTTCCAAAGTTTGATTGTGAGTTCTTTTTATCATTGACTCTAACAATTCAGCCTAGACCATGTTTACATTACATGTGAAAGTTCTGTGGTAAAATGGAGGTAGACAATCAGACAAGTTAAAAGAACATTGTCTGATCTCAGCATTAAAATTCTTCCTATTGTATGGTTCTAAGTAAAGATATCTATAGTCCTGTGAAGATAAACTTATTGACAATTCTCATTACCTGCTTACTTTATTTGCTATAATATATATTTAAGGTGGTAGGGAGAAGTTGGGTCTTAATTTTTATTTTTTTTCAGGTTCAATGATGGTACTGGTGATGAAGCTTATTTCCCTGGCTTTTGATCTGGATAAAGGAGTGATATCTCGGCCAAATATTCTGGAATACTTTGGTTATTCTGTGTCAGTCAGTTCTGTTATATTCGGACCCTTCATGACATATACAGACTATTGTCAGATTTTGGTGGGGAAAAGGATGGTAAGCAACTTAAGGTTCTTTTCTGCCAAGTTTATTTTAGAGCTAGTGTATGTGTGGGTGATTATTAATGATTATTATAAACGATATTTTCTGTGTTCTCTTTCAGAGTTTCTTGTGGTTTCTTGGAGTGATCAGGAGTTGTTTTCTGTCGCATTGTTGCTTGATCATATCAGCCTGTATAGCACCATGGATATTTGAAGAGGACTCATTTAAGTGAGTTGTTTTGATTAAGAGATTGAAATTATTTTCTTAATCCTTGCAATTCATAACTTACCATTATTTAGGCTTAAAAATAAAGTTACATTACACCTAGAAGGAGAAAACTATGTGATATGTATTTGTTCCTTAATTTTAATTTCTGCTGGGCAATAAAATGTTCATTGTTTTGATTATTTTGCACTAATTGCACTTATTCTTGTCTCGCTAACAACAAAACAATAGCCTCCATTTGGTACAGAAATGTGCATGCTCGGATATTTTGTCCATGGACATTATCTGTTCCAAGAAATGAACAGTTTTCCTAGAGAGCATGGCTCGAGGAGAACTGTGAGCTTTGAGGAACAGATAATGCCCAAGGACAAATAATCTGAGCATATTTTTGCCCCAGATGGAGGCTTTTGTGTTTATTATCCTCAAAATATTTTTTGCAACATGCATGGTTTTGAAAATTGGGAATATCACTCAGATATTCCTGGTTTTAGCTGGGGAATATTCAGTCACATGACCCATTTAAACCAATTGTGCATTAGCAAAAATATTTGATGGATTATTATGTTGATTAATGTGTGTTTTCTTTGTTTAGGTGGTTTATGGCATATCAAGCAGCAATGTCCTTTAGATTCAGTCATTATTTTGTCAGTTTCCTATCAGAATGTACCAGTTTATTAAGTGGAATTGGAACTGAAGTGAACCAAGAAGGAAAACAAATAACCATATGGTGAGAGATCCCAGTAATATATGTTGGTAACAAAATTAATATGGCAAACTATGAAAACCATGACAAGAGAGCACAAGCTTAGGTAACTATATAAATTATGTGAACCGAGAAATGTTGCTGCTACAATAAAATCCAGTTCACCTGGTCCACATACATTTAGCAATGTGTTACCTTTAAAAATATAGTTCTGGTTGTTTTTTAACAAATATCAGCTTCTGTCGATGATTTTTTTTCAGGATTATGAACAGATTGAAACACTATAATCAGGAATCAAAGTGCTTTTCAAGTGCTTTTCAGTGCCAAGTCAGTTTTGGAGTTTTAAACAGTGATGGAATTAACTAAATATTTTATAAAGCTACAAATGAAACTAAAAAATCTTGCAGGCCACATTAGTCACTTTGATATCTTGCTGTTTGTGGTGTAGGAGGTCTGACGTAGCACGGCCACAGCATATTGAGCTCCCTCGTTCATTGGTGGAGGTAGTTGTACACTGGAACATTCCAATGCATGTGTTTCTGAAAAATTGTAAGTGTTTCTTCAACGCCAGTTGTATTAAATATATATTTACCTGAAAGTTATTTCCTGTTCCATGAAGAATTCTTCAAGGATCATTTCATAATCCTGGGGAATCCTCATTAAATCCTTGAGAATCATGAAGGATCTGTACAAACTAAGGTCCCTAGATTGATCCCCACAAAATCTTTTAGGATCATTGTAAACCAGATAGAAGTTGTCATATCAATTGAAGAAATCAAATGTGATCAATTAATGACAATCCTTTAAAAGATCCTTGTCTTAAAGGAACTTTAACAGGTTTTTAATATTTCTCCAAGGATCCTTTCTTTAATGATTTTCACTACCTGGAATGAAGGCAACAGTCATGGAGAATCATCCTGTATTAGATTAAGTTTCTTATTATTCTTGTCAACTGTGTACCTTCCATTTACCTGTCCCTAGATGTGTTTAAAAAGGCTCTGCCTCTTGGAAGATTTATTGCTGTTCTCTTTACATTTGGGTTGAGCTCATTGCTCCATGTAAGTATTAACTTACAAGATCTTGAGGATAATATTTTTTTGGTCTACATTCATAGTTATGTTATAAATTTTGTTAAATTAGTTTTGCTCATACCCAAAGTCAAGGCATTTTGTAACTGTTATTTCTTATAAGTGTCTCATACTTTCAAATCACATTTTAGACAAAATGACTCACCAGGGTAGCCCTTGACAGTGGCTTTTGCAGCATTAGGTGACTTGAAGTACCAGTGGGTGTCTGGAAAACCTGAATAGCGAATAGCGAATAGTCGCGAATAGTCGCGAATAGCAAATAGCGAATAGTCCTGAATAGTGTGAATAGTGTGAATAGTCTCGAATAGTGCGAATAGTGGCGAACAGTCGCGAAAAGTGGCGAACAGGGACAAATAGTCGTTAATAGTCACAGCTTTAGATCTAATATCCTGCGTTAATTGATTATCCAAATAAGCAACAGAATTTCAGTGAATTTATTACCTATTCTTCTCCAGACTCAGGCTAGGGTTGTCCATCGCCAACATTCAGAAAACAGAAAACAGAAGGATAACCTAATAAAGACGTATTTACGCTTTTGCAGCGGTTAAAACAGAGGAAATTATGTTTAGCAAAACCTTTTGTCCTGATAAGCGTCTGTACTTTTTAGCGGGAAAATCCCATCTTACGTTGCTGCGAGGTTGACTGCGAGATACTGGGTACACTATTTGCTATGATTTGCCACTATTTGCCACTATTTGCCACTATTCGAGACTATTCGCACTATTCATACTTTTCGTACTATGTGCTATTCGGGACTATTTGCTGTTCGCTATGCGCGACTATTCGCTATTCGCTATTCAGGTTTTCCAGACACCCAGCACCACTCATGTGATGTACATGTACTATTCAGTAGAGTCAAGAACTGTTAACAATTCTTGTCCAAAAAACACATTTTTGAAAATTGTGAGTCAAACCCTCAACCTACAAAGCTCCTTGACTGAATGAGATCTCCGTCTCTTGGTTGTCAAGTACACATTGAACCATCGGGCCATTTGTTGGATACATCAACAAATTGTACCTCGCCCTCCCCTTCCCTGCAGTCAGTATCTAGCCTTTTGTTGACAAAATCAACTTCCTTGTTCAGTCTAAAGCAAAATGGAGTTACCTTCATTTGATATTGTTAGTTGTTTTACTTTTCTTCAGGGCATTAATTTCCAGCTAGCTGCAGTTTTGATTTCTATTGGAACATATGCTTACATTGAGCATGGTGAGTGATTACTAACATATACAGTGCATGAACCAGCTGCTGTAAAGTTAAGAAAAGTTAGAAAAAAAAATGTTTGAGTCAATTCTTGCTGATGAAAGAAGCCTGATACATGTCTTATCTTCTCTGTTAAAAATTAAAATGCCAATTAGTGCAACTTAAGCTTGAAGCAATGTAACTGAAGGAGTTGCTATTCCCCTCAGCTGTCATGTTAGCCTATTGCAGGTTCCCCTTCCTTCCCTCCTTTTAAGTTCATTCTAGAGTGGCATTTCTTTTTTCTTTTTTCTTTTTTGCTATATCCATGTAATCTTCCACTTTGAATTTTAATTTTAAATCCAGTGTTTCGCCAGAAGCTGGGGAGAATTTTCAATGCTTGTATCTTAGCAAGAAAATGCAGGCCAGACTGTGGACATGTTTATGGTGAGGTAAGTCTTTTTATCAATGGCACTGAATGTGTACAGGACATGGTGTGATTCAACAATTCAGTCTTATTGATTTGAACTCAGTTAAATGACCTTGCTCTCCATGAGTTCTCGTAGCTCAGTGGATAGAGCGCCCGCCCAGTGTTCGGGAGGTCATGGGTTCGATTCCTGTCGGGGACTCAGAATTTTTCTTTGTCCCACGCTCGTGTCATGTTGATTAATTCACCTTCACATTAATTTTCATTACCGAGCTTAAAATTCACCATCTTTATTAACTTATCACTACTCACGATGAATTCGATAGCGTTGATCTTAGCAGTATGCAGGACACCTATCATATATGAACTCAGTTAAATGACCTTGCTCTCCATGAGTTCTCGTAGCTCAGTGGATAGAGCGCCCGCCCGGTGTT